GTGGGTCTCCGGCAGGGAGAGCTCTTGGGGAACGCAGCTTCCCCGTGGGGCTTGGAACGGGGCAGGGTCTCCCAGGCTGTCCCTGCTCGGTCGTTTCGGCGCAGCTTGTGGGATCTGCAGTGTGTTTTGCACCAAATTACCGAGCTCTGCCACGTGCTGGTCTGAGCTCTGTGCTCACACAACCTTCCCGTTTCCAAATTCGAGCCCTGGAGGCGGTTGCCCCTTTCTGTCGGAGCATCCTGCGCTGCGGGAAAGGCTCGGTGGCTTCGGTACCTTCACACCGCGAGATCTCGGTGCTCAGTCGCTTGCTCCCCTAACGAGGGAATTTGCCGTGTGAGGGTGAGCACCCATGGCAGGGCGTTGCTTTGGCTCTCCAGCCTGTTCCCACCCAGGACGGGAAGAGGGGCTCCGGGCCAGGAGCGGGTGCTCGGATAGGACCACCTGGACCCAGCTGAGGTTCTGTGCCAACCCTTCAGCCCTGGGATCGTTTCCTGGTGAAGACAGGGCGAGCTGCTTTCCAGCAGGGCAAACCAGGGGCCAAACGCGGAGCCCCAAGCCCTGGGAGGAGACGCCGGCCACCCGAGCCGAAACACCTTCTCAGGGTGGTCCTGGGGCAGCGTTGCCCCCCCGGCTGTGCCCACGGAAGGGTTGGTACCGTTACATCCTCCTTTGCCTGGCAAATATTAAGGTCGGCTGGAAAGCCCCGCGCTGCCCTCCCTGTACCCTGGGCAGTTCCACCTTCGTAAAGCTTTGATGGCCAGAGCTCCCGAATCTGGCTGGATTTGCGCGTGGCAGTTTGGCCGGTGCCGGCGCCGTCCCACGTGCTTCAAATGGCTTTAAATTTCAACCGCAAATCTTTCTAATTATTACCAACCAGGGCTGATTAAACACCGTTATTGGCTGGGGTCTTAATGAGGTCCTATTTCCAACCCCTCCTCCTCCTCCTCTTCTTCTGTCTCGCTGTCAGCTACGCTGGGCGCGCTGGAGTTCAGCCTGCTCTACGACCAGGAGAACAGTTCCCTGCACTGCACCCTCATCAAGGCCAAAGTAAGCGGTTCTCTTTTTTTCCCCCCCTTCTTTCACCGATTCCAGTCCGTCCGGCTCCCAGCTCTGCCGCTGCGAGGGGGTGGAAGCCGTGCCGCCGCTGGGAGAGCCGCTGGGTG